CTACAATGGTGGGACAAACAAAGGGTACATATTCCCATGCCAAAAGGAAGAAATAGGCCAAAAGAAAGGTGTGACAGGTCCCAAACAAGTCAGAGACCCAGCAGTGCAGGCATTAAATCTTACAGCTGGTGAATCATATACCTGGATTCCATGTTCGGTGTCCTCTGCATGCTGGTGTGCAGGTTGTGTCCCCAAGTTCTCGAGCAGCCCTGCCCCTATGGAATTCCTGGTTGCAGGCCACACTTCAGCTCTACCAGGCTGGGGATCCACTTTGGTAGCTCCACAGGTCTGGGGCCTCCATGGTGGTCCCACTCTCCTAGCTCCAGTAGGCATGGAGCTTTTGGGGTTTTTCTGCTGGAACTCTGACCCCACATTTCCACTTAGCATTGCTCTAGCAGACTCACTGCAGTGAATCTACCCTATGACAGATCTCTTCCTGGGGCTCCCAGACTTTTCCATACATCCTCTGAAATTGGGGTGGAGACTCCCAAACAGCTCTAGCATTCTGCAAACCTGCAGACCTAACACCATGTAGATGCCACCAAGGCTTCCAGCATGTATATTCTAAACATGCAGGTCCAGCTACACCCAGGGTGAATTTAGTGATGGCTGCAGCAGCTGCAGCAGCCAAATCAGCCAGGGCGCTGGTGCTGGAAGCAGCTTCCTGAGATGGCCCTGGGCAGTGAGCCTCTGGAGGGTGCCTCAGGCCTGTTAGTAAAAGTCTCAGTTATGAAATTATATTTGTTTCTTTTTTAATATTTTGTATCCTCCTTATTTTTTATGACAAGTAAAGTATATAAAAATCTCTTTGAAAAATCTTTTTTGTGTGTGTGTATTTGTGTGTGGCTGGCCAGAGGGATCCAAAATCATTTGTTAGTTAGTTTATATTTCATAAGTCCCTAACTCGACTGTATCTCATAAAACTATATTAAAACAGAATTCCAATGCTGTTGAAGTTTCAAGATTTAAGATTAAAGGCTATTGACAAAATAAAATGCTAATATTATTCATTGTAAATAATTATTTTTTCTTTATTGGTAAAATTCTTTATTGCTACTTTGTGTCAATTATTATATTTCTTTAAGATAATTCTTAGTTACATATATTTATTGTGTCAATGAATTGTTTTCAGTGTCTAAATTATTGTCAGATGAAGAATTTTTAGTTTTTGCTTTTATTGTTATTATTATTATTTTTAAAAATTTTATTGAGTCAAAATTGATTATACATGTTTTGGGGGTTCAATATTGAGATATGTTGATGAAATCAATATTACTAGGATATATATTGCTACAATCATAATTATTCTTTATGCCCCTGTCCAACCTTTCCCCATCCTCCTCTCCCTCCCCCTCCCCCCTCTAATTACCCTAGATTTCTTCTCTCCTTCTGAAAGATTAATGGTTACTTTGTTGATTTGTTGCCTAGATGATCTGTACAGTGCTGACAGGTGTGATCAGGTCCCCCAATATTATCACAGTAGAGACGCTTCCTCTGTCACTCTGGAATGGGCTTTGTGGAGAGAGACATCCTCCTCCTTTCTTTATGTCTGTTGGCGACTCACCTTGTGTCAGTGCACTCCAGGGGCTGGCGGACCACATCTTCCATCTGTGTAGTGGTTGTGGCATCCAGCTGCTTTTGTAGTAGCCATGGTTATTTTAGTGGCTGTGGTGGGCCACACACATGGAGGTGATGTTTTTGACATGCTCCTTGGTGCTGGCAGTGTGCCTGGTTGTGGGGAGTGTCTGGTCCACATCTTCATGCCTTGGGTCCCCGCCTCCATGTCTCAGGTCACTGGGGGGGGGACTGAGGCACTGGCACAGTGTGCCTGGTTTTGGGAGGGGGGCCCAGTCCCCTTCTCCATGCCTCGGGTCCCTGGGCAGTCCCTGAGGTGCTGGCACGGTGTGCCTGGTTGTGGGAGGGGGTCCTGTCCCCAGGTCCATATCCTGGGTCCCTGGGTGGGCCCCAAGATGCTGGCACTGTATGTCTGGTTATGGGTGGGGGTTCCAGTCTTCTTCTCCATGCCTCAAGTACCTGAGTGGGCCATGAGGTGCTGGCAGCATGCCGGGATGTGGGAGTGGGGTCCAGTTCCTGGCTCGAAGCCTTGGGTTCCCAGGTGAGCCCCAAGGCACTGGTGGTGTGCCTGGGCCAGAACTAATATTTTGTCATTTGCTTACTTCTAAAATGAGGGAACTTCCTGTGGGAACCAGTACTTGAAGTCTGTGGTTGAGCTAAATTGCTGCTTTGCTGCTGTTTCCCTAGGGAAGGCCTTTTGTGCAGCTCAGGGATTAATGGTTGACCTTACAGGTACTTCCAAATCTCCAGAGACCCGGTGCACCTGGGTTGTGTAGAAACTCTGACCTGGGCCTGAGTTTTTTTCATCAAACTGCACGCCCTGAAATTCTACATTCCCTACCAGTCTCCTCTGAGTTGTCCTGTGCTGATTGGGGGGCTGATTGGCTGTCCTACCTGTGTCCCAGTATTCTCCTGGTGAGCCTGTCTTCCCCACCACCCATGCTTCAAACACTTGCCATGGGAAGGGCCGTGCACCGGTCCCTTGTGATGACTCACTGGCCTTTGAATGGCTCCCATTTTTCAGCTGTTCTAGCTCCTCCCTCCTGTGTGGGTCCACAGGAACCCTATTAATGGTCTTGCTGTCCTAGGAGCCACCAAGGCCCCCTTTCCAGCTGCTGCCTCCATGTAACTCCATTTGAAGGGCACAGCTGAAGGGCACAGCTGCGGCTTCTGCTGGCTCCTGCTCCATGCACTCAGCAGCTGAAGCATTAAAGCAGGGATGACCTGAAAATTTCAGAGCAGTTTTTTCTTTCTCTCATAGTGGTTTCTCTCACATTCATGAACCCCGTATGTCTCTCCTCCTCTTCCCTTGAGCTCCAGTGGCCCCAGCTTGGCTGATGTTACATTTTTATAGTTCTAAATTGGTTGATTTGTAGGACAGAGTGACGCTGGGGACTATCTATTCTGCCATCTTGACTGGTACTTCCTGCTTTTATTATTATTACAACACTTGTTTGGGTGGATTCCAAAGTCCGACCTGTGTTTGAATGTTCATTGTGCTATTTACCATCTGTGTTACTTTGGGCAAGTTACTTAGCCTTTCCAGCCTTCTGTTTTATCATCAGTAAAGTAGATGTCATCATAATACCTACCTTGTAGGACTGTTTTGAGGTTTATATTTTTTATTTATTTATTTTTGAGGTTTAAATATAAAGCTGTTAGCCCAGTGCTGGCACATAAATAAGTGCACAGGATTAAAGAATACCTATACTTATTTTCTCAGGAAGTAGAAGCTAATTTATAGATTAGGATTCTTGGTTAGCAGCAAAAACTATCTCTAGCCAAGTAAAGGAAAAGAGGATTTACTGGAAGGACCTGCTGTAGTCCATCCATAAGACTGGAGGAAGAGATGAGCATTCTGGCCACAGGAAGGACAGGAGTGGGGACATTGTCAGGAATCTAGGTAGTGTGATACAGCAGACAGACTCTTGAAGGGGCAGCTATCATAAAGCTTCCTGTCCAACCAATTTCTCTCTTTCAAGGACTCAGCTCAAGATCTAGGTTCCTGGGAGAGACACTGGTCTTCTCAACTTGGACAGCAAGGCACTTTGGTTGACAATTTGGAATTCCCATCAAGACTGGTAGATAGAAAGGGTGAGTGAGAGGATGGGGATAGTAGGATAACAGATACAGATTGGCCAGAGGGTTGATAGCTGGTATTGGTGGAATATGTCATTAGGAAAAGATATTTTTGCTTGACTTTTGTTACAGTGTTTTCTTGCTGGTGTTCCCTCTTTAAAAGTAGAAAAACTGTTTTTAAGGCCTAAGAAGAGAAAGGGTGAGGTCTTTCAGAATTGTCCTAATTTGGGGCCTGAGTTTAAATTTTTTTCAGCCTTGACATATTCAGAGAATTATTTTTAATAAAATGGACTTTTGGACAACAATAAAATAAATAGCTTAGGTAAATTTATTGACCATAAACATGGTTAACTTTGTTTTTATTTTTTAAGGAACTTAAACAGAAACGAACTCAGGAAATTGATGACCATCAACATGAAATGTCAGTACTGCAGAATGTACATCAACAGAAATTGACACAAATGCATCATCAGTATCAAGAGGAATTAAGCTCCTACGAGGAATGAATTGAAGAATTCAAAAAGCAGTTACAAGAAGGTTATTAGTTTTATTAATTTAATGTGTTAGATGACATACTTAAATGACAATTCTAGCACTCTGAGACCAGAACACTGCTATAAATTTGCACTAAGTTCTAAAGAATGAGCAAATGACTAGCTCTGCTTGTCTGCCAGAAATTTGCTGTGGCACCACTACTTTCAAGATTTTGCAAAAATGGAAAGGTCCTTTTGCGTTTCTGGTAAATAGTTATAATTCATAGATTTGTTTTTGCATTGTTTGATGGTCATATTTTACTTTCTTTCACACTCAGGTACATAGGATTTTTAGTAGTTGATTCAAATCCTATGTTTCCCCAACTTTTTATTTTTTTAAACATGCTTAATTTAGTATAGTAATTTAATTTTTCTTTTTAAGCTTTTCAAGTTCTGAACTCTTATATCTTAGTTGTAAATAGCAAGCTATTTACTTCTTGATTCTTAACATTTGATATCGTTGACTTTATATTCTAAGTGGCTCAGGAGTTACAGGACCTGATCACTCTAAAATCTATGAGATGCAAAAAACTATTCAAGTTCTAGAAACTGAAAAAAATGGAATCTACACAAAAATTGAAGAAGTTGAGGATATAATAAAAGACATAAATGAAAAATTATCCTCTGCAGAAAATGACAGAGATGTTTTAAGGAGAGAACAAGAACAACTAAATGTGGAAAAGCAACAAATAATTGAAGAATGTGAAAGTTTGAAACTGGATTGCAGTACATTGCTATCTTATGCTATGAAGCAAAGTGATTGTGTGACAGAAAAGGAAAGAATTCTTCCACAGAGTACACCAGTGGAAGAAGTGGTCACACTACGACAAGCACTGCCTGGTATAAAATGTGTGGAACTAACTTCAGACTGGTATTTCATTGCACACTAGTTGTTTTTAAACACTTGAATAAATGAATACTTCTTGGAAATGGAGTATTCATGGAAACAACTTTGAGTAATTTGAGAATTGCTTGGTTTGGATTCAGTGCCATAGTTAACAATAGATCACAAATAGGAATTTTCTACTAAAAATGGTTAAGTATTGGCTTTGTGTTTCTCAACCTACCTTCTTTACCCTTTTATTAACATGTAACTCATTGATTTAGGAGGCCATGCAGATATCTGAGAAAAGTTTATGTATATTGACATTTTTGAGAGAAGGTAACGGTCTGTTTCTTGTAATCTATATTGAATACTTCCTGTAACTCATCAGGGCCCAAACCCTCCAGTTAAGGAATGCAGTCTTTCTTCTTCAAAATCTGTTGGTACCTTTTGAAATCATCTCCTATATCGAGCAAAGGCCTGAGTAATAAGAGCCATAGATTTTCTGCCATTTTCCATACTAAAGATGATATTTATAGTATTGGATGAAATAAACCAGTACGCATTTATGGCAGGAAAACATAATGGGAACTCTTCCGCTGAAAAGATGCATTTCATTTTGCACTTTGTGCTTCTCTCACACTATCAACTCTCACTTTTTGAACTCACGCATTTCTGCTCTGGAGGTTTCCAGCCCTTGTGTGCTTGTGACCCCCCACATCTGTATCCCTCAACCAGTTGTTTATTATGAGTTCCTTATCTGTATGGCCAGTTCTGTATATATCAGATGGATTTTCAAACTAAAGTTAAGTTTAAAATAAAGTCACCATGTCCTTTTCTGCCTCTTCTTCCTCTCCCTACCTTAGTGATTGATAGCATTTTCCAGTCTCCCAAAACAGAAAGCTAGAAGTCATCACCTAGCGAGTCCTGTAGGTTGGTTCCTTAGCTTTTCTCTGATTCAGTGATATTTTGGGATTGTATCCCATAGGAGCTCTAGGGTTTCTCACAGGTTCAACAGTCCTGGGAGCTGCCATGCAGGCAAAGTGCAGTGGGATTCTGGACTTCTTTCTCAGTTGGCTTCAATCGAAGTAGCTCTGCACTTTTTTTTTTTAATAAAAATTATTTATCTATCATGTTGGGCAATCCATATGAGTTTATTTGCTTAAAAAACAAACCTACTGAAATAATCAAGTTGAAGGTATACCTGTTCCCCAATGTTCATTGCAGTACTCTTTACAATAGCCAAGAGTTGGAACCAGCCCAAATGTTCATCATCAGATGAGTGGATACGGAAAATGTGGTATATCTACACAATGGAATACTACTCAGCTATAAAAACGAATGAAATACTGCCATTTGCAACAACATGGATGGACCTTGAGAGAATTATATTAAGTGAAACAAGCCAGGTACACAAAGAGAAACCCCACATGTTCTCACTTATTGGTGGGAGCTAAAAATAAATAAATAAATTCACTCACACACAAAAAATAACCGGGGGGGGGGGAGAAGATAAAACAACTACAATCCTTTGAAGTTGTTACAACAAGCAAACGGAAAGGACATTGTTGGGTGGGAGATGGGAGAGAGAGGAGGGAGGGAGGTTTCGGTGATGGGCCATAATAATCAACCACATTTTATATTGACAAAATAAAAATTAATAAAAACCAAAAAAAAAAAAAAACAAACAAACAAACAAAAACTCCTACTGCCCTAGACTTTCTCTTTTTTTTCCATTTTTGTTGCCATGGAATTACTTCAGCCAATCGTAATTGCTTTTTGCCTATGTTAACTATAGCAGATCTTAGTGGAGCAGGATAATACAGTGGTTGAGGACCTGACTGGGTTGGAATACAGCTCTATCGCTAACTAGCTGACTTGGGACAAGTTAGTTAACATCTTTTTGCCTTGGTTTTTTCACTGACAGCGTTGAGATAATCATAGTAACTTCCTTATAGTTGTTGTAGTAGTAATGAGGGTTATAAGGGTTAGTTACTAGCTGCACATTCTCTTTAGAAGAGTGTCTGGCCAATAGTGTGATAAAAGCGTTAGCCACTTTTATTCTCTGGTCTCCGTGATTCCTTCTTCAATCCATATTTTTGTGAGCTTCAGGATGAAGTCTGAACTTCTTAGTTGGACATGTAATGTCCATCATGTTCTGGTTCCTGTCTGCCTCTGTTGTTTCCACTCTTCCCTGTCTCCTCACATTCTGAGCTTTAGCCATATTGAACTTTCTATAGCTTCTGAAACCAATAGTGTTGTCTCTTTGCTCTGTTGCCTTTGCTGGTTTCTCTACATGGAATGTTGCCGTGTTTCTTTTAGCTGACTCTTACTATTTTCATTCAGTATGGGTATTACCTCAACTGGGAGGTACCTAGCACTGCCACTTCCCTGGCCCCATTGTCTCCCCCTAGTCTGGATCAGGTGTTTGACTTTTTTTCTCTCATAGCACCTTGTACTCACTGTATCACACTGTATTGAATTCATAGATTCACTAGTTTTCCTTCCCCTCTGAATTGTAAGCTCTTTGAGAGCAAGGACTAAATTTTTACATCTTGTGGTCTAGCACCTGGCCTCATGGTAAATGTTCAGTATTTCTTTGAATAAATGTCAGATGTATGACCTCAACTGAACTCATGGTATTGTCTTTGTGTTCCTCTTCCAGAATCTGTCTATACTACCAGATTGAATGGTCTTTTTACCAATAGTCATGTCTAAATCACTTTAGATGATTGATACTATTGTATTGTTGTGGTATAAATATATATTTATTGCTTTTAAGGGTTTTTTTCCCCTTCAGTCTTAGACCTTATGCTGTATCCTGCTACCCAAACTAATTAACTCATTTTGAAATGTAGTTGTTAGCATTTTTATCAAGGTGATAACTTATGACTCATTCAGAATACAATCATAGTTCTTTCTTATAGTTTTCCAGAGAATTGGATTTTAACATTTTTGTTTGTTTGCTTTTGTTTTTTTAAAGATAACCAGTAAGGGGATCTTAACCCTTGACTTGGTGCTGTCAGCACCACGCTCAGCCAGTGAACTAACCAGCCATCCCTATGTAAGGATCCAAACCCGCGTCCTTGGTGTTATCAGCACCACATTCTCCCAAGTGAGCCATGGGCCGGCCCTTAACATGGTTTTTAGCTGGCATTTATATTATGATTTCTTTGGTTGGCGTTGGTGTTATCAGCACCACACTCTCCCAAGTGAGCCATGGGCCAGCCCTTAACATGTTTTTTAGCTGGCATTTATATTATGATTTCTTTGGTATAATCAAAATAGAAATAGAAAACAACAAAAATGTGCTTCACTTGGAACTGTTAGCACTTGTTAATTAAGATTATAAATATACTTTGTTAGTTTAATATAGGAGATAATAAGTTATTTTAAATTATTTTAATGTCAGGTTTATTTGTTGTTTTTACAGATGCTGCTGAAAATGAAATGAGACTGAATAGTTTAAACCAGGTAAACTCATTTTAAGGGAGACAGTTTTTGACATTGGTGTACCAAGAAAAAGTATTTCGATTTATTATAGGTGCTTATTTTTTTTCCACAAATTCATGTGAATTTACTCTAAGAACTTTTATTTAAGTGATTTTATGTTTGCTGATTAAAAAATCACAAATTGACATAATTTTAAAAGTTGCATGATTGAAAAATACAGGTATATCTTTTTGAAGATTAATAAATCACAAATTGACATAATTTTAAAAGTCGCATGATTGAAAAATACAGGTATATCTTTTTGAAGATTAATTTGACAAATGTTATGTGTGTAGAGACAGTGGAAGCAGATCCTATACCGAAGTGAGGAATGCATTTTGATTTTCCTTGTTTTGAAGATTAATTTGACAAATGTTATGTGTGTAGAGACAGTGGAAGCAGAGGAATGCATTTTGATTTTCCTTGTTGAATTCGAGGAGTTGTTTATATTTTTAATAATTACAAGTTATTTTGTAAATAAGTAAAAATAAATATATGTATATATTTTATTATAATAAAGAGATCTATAAGAATGTCTAAAATGAGTAGCTCTAAGATGATTCAATGTTGAATTCTTATAATTTTTATATATCACTAAAAAAATTGGAAACACAGTTACATAGTTTGCCTGCTTTTTTTGTAAAATGGAAATTTCTTGTTATCTGAAAACACTGCTTTAACATTTTTGTAGGATAACAATCTCACTGAAGACAACGTGAACCTTAAACGGCTTGTCCAGGTTTTAGAAGAAAATAACTCATTACTGAGCCAAGAAAAGGTGGGCGTTGTAAAAATTGGGGCATAATTAAAATGGTGTGTGTATTATAGTTTACAGCTAATGGCCAGTTTATATCAAAACTGAGAGTCCTCTGGATAAAGCTGATCTCATTGATTCTTGTCCGGCCAGGTTGAAATACCTGGACAAGGGTAAGAGTATGAGAGACTGGCGAGACTTTATGTTTAGAGATAAGCCAGTAGGCACACAGACGTGAGCAGAAAAGATAGGTACAGGCCCTATTTTGGTTTCTGATGAAGGCCTGACAGCAGCAGCATACACAGGTGGGTCGAGAGGTCTGGAGGGGCATGCTGTAATAACAGTAGCTACTGCTTATGTGCTCCAGAATGTGTCCACTGTGCTGGACAGGATTTCTTTGTGGTGAGGAGTTAAGAGGGACAGTTTCAGTGGTAGAAGTAGGGTCTATCTTGTATATGTTGCTAGCAAAGATGGAATTCTTGGGATTAAAATTCTGTATGGGGAGAGGTATTCTTAGGTCTGTACCACATGATGGTAATTCCTTGGCTAAGGCAGGTGCTTAAATATGGGACATTTGTAAGCTGGTGTTAAATTAAAGGCCAATGTCTGGATTCAATTTAAATTTTTTATTTTTTTAAGTAACACATGTTTACTGACATATGTATTCAGTAATACTCGTACATACTGAAAAACTTCAGACAGTACGAGTGGAGTATCCTTTGCTTGGCCTTTCCCAGAGGTGATCTCTTTTACCACTTTCTGTTATTTCTTTTCAGACTATATCTATGCATGTATGATTTTATATATAAAGAGATTTAAAAAATATGTGTCAGCATACTAAAAATATTGTTCTTACATACCTTAACATTACATTTTCAACATCTGTCTACATTAGTACATAGGCAGTGTTTCTCTAAGAGGGTGCCATTGGCATTTAAGTGAGAAGATTCTTAGTTGTGTGCACTGTCCCGTTCATGGTAGGATCTTTGCCCTCACTTTTTATATACCCACTAAATGCCAGTCACTTTTTAAATTACTATATTATAAATGAGGATATTTCACAAAGTTCATAGAAAGGTTCATATTATCTTTTAATTCTGTTCTGCAAATTTTTTGAAGTACCATCATATATTTTCTCTGTTCTGTTTCTGCTCCCACTGTATTCTGCAGTTTATCTGACTGGCCTAGGTATATTTTATAGTTTGTAGACCCTCTGCACATATTTGGTAGGGCCTGTAACGTTTTCATGATATTCTTGGATTCTGTAGCTATTCCCAATAGCTGTTTCTCCTTTCTTTTGATGTTAAGTTGTCCATTCTAACTATTCCTTGAATTGTGTCTGCTGCGGGTCTGCTTACTGATAAGAAATACCAGAAGACACCAAGGTGGAGGGTTCAATCCCTGTACAAACCAGCCACCAAAAATAAAAAAAGAATGCCAAAAGTACCTGCAAAGCTGTGTGTCCTCTTAATATCTACCTGAAAGGAACGTGTGGTTCTCCTAATTGAGCAGATAACAGACAGTAGAAAGATGTAAGAGAATGCTGTTTTCATCTTCCAGTTATATTCAGAATAAACTTTTGAATCAGAAGGAAATGAGAACTGTGATGCATTGCTCTGAGACAGCTTTTATTGGTTTCTTTTATAAGGTATAAGGCTTTTTATTTGAAGGAATTTGAGACTCTAGATACCATAGAAGTTTGATTTTTAAAAAATCTCTGGCAATGGGCCGGCCCCGTGGCTCACTCGGGAGAGTACAGGGCTGGTAGTGCCGAGGCCGCGGATCCAATCTAGGGATGTCCGGTGCACTCACTGGCTGAGCGTGGTGTGGACCACACCGTGCTGAGGGTTGCGATCCCCTTACCGGTCCAAAAAAAAAAAATCTCTGTCAATGAGAGAAGGCTTTATAGCAATTTATAGTTTATCAACAGACCTTGTAATCAGAGGTTGAAATAATGCTGAAGCATAGAGAAATGTACCACTTCTGGAATTTTGGAGAAAAGCATTAAATAGCTAATAATGGACTATAAAATGTATATATAGATACATCTTTTTGTCAGGTTTGAGAGAGGGGAACCTTGTCTGTGCTCAGGTTAGAAGGGAAAGGAAGGAAGGAGGGCACTTTTTTGGATCAAGAAAAGGTTCCAGTTTCTGACAGAAGCAAGCAATTAGGGGGATTCCTTTAATGAGGGAAAAGAAGGCTTTTATTTTCTAATTAGAGAGGAAAAAATTTAGAGTGAACAAGTGTGGATTTTGTAAATTTTTGTTTAGTCTCTGGGTGTTGATGACTGGATGTTAGGGAATGGAAATGAAGAGAGCTGAAAGACTTGGACATTTTGCAAAAATATGTATGTGGAGGGAGAAGAGCAGATAAAGGGAAGCAACGGTGGGAGTGGGATAGGAAAGACTCAGATGCGGAAGGTTGTGTGTGAAGAAGCCGAAGCTACAAGACAAACACACTTGTTGCATCTTGTCTAGGGTTGTAGAAATGTTTCATTTGAAGCTGCAAATAATATTGCAAATTGAATAGTATTGTTGAATTTTATATTTCATTATTAAGGTATTAGTAATTTTTCCAATACAGAGAATTTAAGGTAGATTCCAAGTTTTGTTTATTTATTTGTTTTTCATCTTTGGGTGTCTCTTCTTCGGTTCACAGTATATGTTGCTTTTTTCCCCTTTATCATTTAAGGAAGAACTCCAGATATCACTTTTAAAACTGAACAATGATTATGAAGTAATGAAAAGTACAGCTGCAAGAGATATGAGTTTGGATTCATTATTACATGATTTAAGACTTAGTTTGGAGGCAAAGGAACAAGAACTCAATCAGAGTATTAATGAAAAGGAAATACTGCTATCCAAGTTAGGAGAATTGGACAAACAGAACCAAGAAGCTACAAAGGTAATGTTATATTAAAGACAGTGAGGTAGCACATTTTACTCAGCAGACTGAACACTGGGTTAACGTGTAAAAATAATGGGCATAATTTAATTTTGTGATTTAATTACTATTTTAGTTCACTGATGCTCTACTCATAGAAATTGCAAAATACTAAAGTACTTTTGGCTTTACAGACCATGTAGTCTCACTTGCAACTACTCAGCTCTGCTGTTGTGAAGGAGTGTGGCCATGTTTCAATACAATTTTATTTACAGAAACAGGTGCAGGCCTGATTTGGCCTCTAAGATGTAGTTTGTTGACTCCTGCTCTAGTGTTTAAGAGTTGAAAATAAATAACAAGTATCGTTTCCCATCTTCAGCAAAATGGACTTGCTGTAAGATATTAGTAAATACCTTTGTAGGGGATGTTGGGATAGGAAAAATGTTGTTCTTAAGAAACATTAGAAATATCTGAGGATAATTCTGTTATGTATGAAATTTTGTGAAAATTTTTTATGTACCAAAATAAGAACATTTTGTAACATTACCATGCAAATTAATTTTTCTTTCAGCATATTATTTTGATAAAAGATCAGCTATCAAAACAACAAAATGAAGGAGATAGCATTATCATTAAACTGAAACAAGGTCTAGATGATGAAAAAAAGATAGTCCATCAACTTGAGGATGATAAAATGAACCTTACTAAAGAGTTAGACAGACAGAAAGAACAGTTAATTCAAAGTGAACTGGTCCTGAATGATTTGCACTTAATCAAGGAGGAGCTTGAGGATAAAGCAGATTTAGTAGATCAGCTAAGTAAATCACAAAAAAATAATTCAAACATCCAGAAGGAGAACCTTGAACTTAAGGAACGTATTAGACAAAATGAGGAAGAGCTTTCTAGACTCAGGAATGAGTTAACTCAGTCTCTTAATCAAGACTCGAATAGTACTTTTAAGGATAAGTTACTTAAAGAAAGGGAAGGTGAAGTTAGAAACTTAAAGCAAAATCTTTCAGAAATAGAACAGCTCAATGAAAATTTAAAGAAAGTTGCTTTTAATCTGAAAATGGAAAATGAAAAGCTGGTTTTAACATGTGAAGATGTAAGGCATCAGTTGGAAGAATCTGTAGCTGGGAACAGTCAGATTTCTCTAGAAAACAACATTATTGTGGAGTCTCTAGAAGTGGAAAAAGGGCAGCTAGAAGCAGAATTGTGTGAGGCTAAAGAGAGGCTGTTGGAAGAAGCAAGCAAGTATGAGCAAAACATTGAAGAACTATCAAATGCACATAACTCGAGCACCTCTGCCTTACAGCTGGAAAATGAGCGTTTAGTTAAACTCAATCAAGAGAAAGACTTTGAAATAGTAGAACTCAAAAAGAATATTGAGCAAATGGATACCGATCATAAAAAAACTAAGGAAATTTTGTCATCTTGTGAAGAAGAGCAGAAGCAACTGACAGAAGTTATAAAGGAAAAAGAACTTTTTATTGAAAAGCTTAAAGAAAAGTGTTCAGAGCTGCAGGAGGAATTCGATAAATATTCTCAGGCCTTAATGACAAATGAAATTTTAAGGCAGACCCTAGAGGAAAAGGACAGAAGTCTTAGAGCCATGAAAGAAGAAAGCAATCATCTGCAAGAAGAACTGGAACAACTCAGGGAACAGCAGAGTCGATCTGCACCTGTAGCTGAGCCCAAACCACTTGATATTATTATAGAACTAGAGTCGGAGGTATCTCAACTGAATATAATCAAGGATCATCTTTTTTTTTTTTTTTCCTTTTTTTTTGTCTTTTTTTTTTTTTTTTTTTTTCGTATCCGGCAACGGATCGCAACCCTCAGTGTCGCGCCCGCACCGGACCGGGACCGGCACGGGATCACAACCCCCGGTGTCACGCCGGCACCTCACTAAGAAAGTGAGCGGGAACCGGTCTGCATGTGTGATCCGAACCCTCGGCGGGAGCGCCACCGTGCTCCCAAACCGTGCACTGTAGCAGTGTGCCACCGGGCCGGCCCTAATCAAGGATCACCTTGAAGAGGGAATTAAACATCAAGAGAAGATAATTGAAGATCAAAACCAGAGTAAAATGCAACTACTTCAATGTTTACAGGAGCAGAAGAAGGAGATGGATCAGTTTAGATACCAGCATGAGCAAATGAATGTCACACACACCCAGCTCTTTTTAGAGAAAGATGAGGAAATTAAGAATTTGCAAAAAGCAGTTGAACAAAGCAAAACCCAGTTGCATGAAGAAAGACAGGACATTCAAACAGAGAATCCTGATATTTTACAAGAAACAAGAGTTCAGAGCCTTAATATGGAAAATGGAGGTGAAAAGCATGATTTATCTAAAGCTGAAACGGAAAGATTAGTGAAAGGAATAAAAGAACAAGAACTAGAGATTAAACTTCTAAATGAAAAGAATATATCCCTAACTAAACAGATCGATCAGTTGTCCCAAGATGAGGTTGGTAAACTAACTCAGATTATCCAACAGAAAGATTTGGAGATAGAAGCTCTTCACGCTAGAATTTCTTCAGCTTCCTACACCCAGGATATTATGTACATTCAACAGCAATTGGAGGTCTATGCTATGGAAAGAGAACAAGTATTAGCTATTTTGGATGAGAAGACTTGGGAAAATAGCTATCTCATAGCAGATTATCATAAAATGATGGATATAGTTGCAGCCAAAGAAGCAGTGCTCATTAAGCTGCAAGAGGCAAACAAAAAACTGTCCACTCAACCTGAAATTAGCAGCCAAGATATGTTTAGAGAAACTGTTCAGAATTTATCACGTATCATTCGAGAAAAAGACATTGAAATAGATGCATTAAATCAGAAATGTAAGACTTTCTTAGAAGTTTTACAAACATCCAGCACTGGTAATGAGGCCGGAGTTGTTAATAGTAATCAGTTCAAGGAGCGTTTACAGGAATGGGATGAAGGAAAAGAACATGAAAAAACAGATTCAGAAATTAAGCAGCTAAAGGAGGAACAAGATTTTTTTTTTCGTTAAATTTTTATTTTGTCAATATACACTGTATATGATTATTATGGNCATGTATCTGATTAAATAGGTACACTCATGGTCAACGTAGAGGTGTTCTCATCCTTCAGAGATAACTTTTTAGCCTTAATGGCACTGGTCTATAATTGTTGTGAAAAAGACTCTCAGATGGTAGAGCTTCCTATTACTCACTAACCAAAATTAGGTACACTGTGTTATGGTTGTAAGACTACAACAGAAGGAATGTAGAACAAGTCTTCTGTTGGATATGTTTTTTTTTTTCTTTTGCAGTTTTGCATCTTGTACAATTTAGTTCTATTTCATTGACATTTACACATCTTAAGTCTGCAGATTTTTTCTGGCTCTTGTACCTTTTAGGAAGTTTCACTAAGTCAAGTATTACTAAAGTATTGTATTGCTTGAGGGTAATTCATATAAACTAATTAAT